CCCCCATCCTTAATGAATCTATGTGAAGGATCAGTGTAGAAGAGAATCTCATGTTCAGATGCAAATGCTAGGTGGCAGAGACAGGTTCTAGCTCGCTCCTATTTTTTATTATTATTTTTTAAATACATTTTTACTGATTTCAGAGAGAGGGAGGGAGAGGGAGAGAGTTGAAACATCAATGATGAGAGAGTCATTGATCCGCTGCCTCTTGCACACCTCCAACTGGGGATTGAGCCCGAAACCTGGGCATGTGTCCTGACCGGGAATCGAACCGCTACCTCCTGGATCCTAGGTGGATGTTCAACTGCTGAGCCACACCTGGCAGGGTTTATTATTTTAAATTGATTTGAGAGAGAGAGGAAGGGAGAGGGAGAGAGAGAAACATTGGTTGCTTCTGATAGGTTGTTTCCCATAGGAACCTGAAACCTGGGTATGTGCCCTGAACAGGAATCCAACCTGTGACCTTTTGGTGTACCAGATAACACTTCAACCAACTGTAGTTATAAACATGTTCTCCAAAGAATTTCAAGCTGTTATTCTCATTTTGGCTGTAGGGTAATCTTTAGATTGTATTCCCCTCTGGCACACACAACACTTACTTATATTCATCTTTATGTGTTTATTACCTCATAGTAATTATTTGCACTTGTATCTTTAAAAAAAAAATTTTTTTTTTAAGGATGCAGAAAGAGAATAACTTGCTTCAGATGTCCCCAGAAGAGAAGAAAATGGGGGCACAAGGGTAACATGCTCAACAATAAGGAGAGCTAAGTTGTTGAGTGTTAGGGTTTGGGCTGGTGAAGCAGGCTGTGAAAGATTTCACAACTAAAAGAAGAGATACAGAGAGAAAGGTGTTTTTTTTTTACTTTCCTAGAGAAGGGAAAGGGCTGATTCATTGCTGATCAATACAAGGGCCTAAAATATGTTTTTATTGATTTGAGAGAGGAAGGGAGGGAGAGAAACATCGATTGGCTGCCTCCTGCTTGCCCCCCAATGGGGATTGAGCCCACAACCTGGGCATGTGCCCTGACTGGGAATCAAAACCAGGGACCTCTCTCTGCATGGGACAATGCCCAAACAACTGAGCAACACAGGCCAGGCCAGGGCTGCACTGGTATTTTTATTCTAGGACTTTCAAGGATTTATGAGTTTTTACCAGTGGAGCATTTAAAAGAAGTGAACAAACCTTGGCTGCCTTATTTTTTCATGCAATTGAGCAGTAGCCTTCCTGCTGGTTAAAGGTCATTTCTTATAATCCCTAGGATTCATGATCTGCCATGTGCATGGTAGTTATGTAGTAAGAAGTGGAAAAATCATGGGTTTAATTCTAGCATGATGTCACTACACTGCAACTCAGAGACCCCTGTGCCCTCCTTGATATAGGAGCTGGGTAAAGAAAAGATACTGGTAGGTACTTGGGAGTACCCATTTTATGGGTGAACTTTTGCTCTATATACGGATACAATTAAGAAGGCAAGGACAACAACCTATGTATTTGCTTATGGAATAAATCTGGGTGCCACTAAGAATACAGCCTGTCTATAGAGTCTCAGTTTGTTTCTGAGATCAAAGTGGATGATCAAAGTGTGAAACACTGTTTGCTTTACAATTCCCTGCTGGTTTTCTTTTTTTTTTAAATATTAATTTCAGAGAGAGGGAGAGATAGAAACATCAATGACAACAGTCATTGATGCGCTGCCTCCTACATGCCCACGACCAGGGATCGAGCCCACAACCTGGGCATGTGCCCTGACTGGGAATTGAGCTGCTATCTCCTGGATCCTAGGTCGATGCTCAACTGCTGAGCCCCGCCCCACCTGGTTTTATTTTAGTTAACAGGTCATTTCTTATAATGAAATGCTTGTCAGCCTGCACATTATTTTCCAGTATCAAGCTCAAAAAAACCTCTTGGTGTGTGATTCTTTTATTTCTTGACATACACATAAATGGATTAAAAAGTATGTTCACCTAGAAAAGTTGACTCTAGCCAAAAATGTAAAACAGATTTCAATGAACTTAGATTTCCTGTAAGGTAGAAGTAATGCACTGTCCACTTACATGCCCATGTTTCTGACCCAGGCTAAGGGGCTGGAAAAAGAAACTTGAAACAGTCCCAAGTGAATTTGGGAAGCCAGAGCAATGATAAAATCTAAGATTTCTCAGAAATAGTTTTAAGTGGGGATAATCCTACCTGGATAGCGCTTTTCTGTGGGTTTCTCAGCATGAGTCCAAACCTCACAAAGCACCTTCAAAAACTGGGTTGCCCAGTGTCACAAGTATGGCAGTAGGTCCAATAGGCTGGATACATGGGCCATGAAAATAATGGTAAAAGCAAAGGGCCAGATGCTGAGACTTGCCCTTGTGTCCCACAGCTGGAAGAGTAAGTAGTTGAACGTTAAGTAGTTTTCCGCTTCTTGGCAGATGGCCGTTCAAATACATCTCGTACCCCAGCTGCCTTCTGTTTAAAGAACTTTGTGTTCTGAGCACTCTCTTGGCCCCATGCTGAGTCAAAGGAAGTGGTGTCCTGATCCACAAGGTGGGTGTACTTGGTACGACCAGAGCGCCCAAAGTTCTTGACCTGAAGGAAGGATAGATAATGAGTTATATTACCAAATATACCATGTCCCAGCCCTCAATATATTACTTTTCTCACATGTGAAGGTAACCCCCCATACCTGCATGACTTTGGGAAGAATGGTTTTGTTGAAATGGTCCTCCAGGGTAGGTGCGCTGAAATCTCTCTTGTATACTTCTTCATCCTCATCCTGTAGAAAAGAGTCACATCAGTCTTGTGGTTTTATTTCCCATATGTTCAAATCACAAATTTATTAAACTATGACGAGGGATACAAAGAAGAGGGTATTAAACCTTTTCTTCAAGAGCTTACGTCTAGTTGAGGAGATGACACTCCTTTTTTCCCCTCATGTCTTTTTATTCCTATGTGTACACATTTCCTGAAGGTTGGCTATATTCTCTCTGCACTCACTATGTTCATTCACTCACAGGACTTTAACTCTGTTACAGGCCCTTCAAATCTGACTCTGAATTTTCTACTTTCCATTAGCTTAGATATTCTGTTGGGATTTCAAACACATCTAAGTGAAAATCATTTCCCCAACCTTTCTAAATCTGCTTCTTCCTGATTTAACTTTTTGTTAACAGGACCAACATTCTCTCAATTACCCAGATTCAAAATTTGAGTAATTGTTATGCAGATTCAATCAGTTGCCACTTACAAATGCTCATCACCTGAGTTATAGTTTTTCCTTGCAATCAATCTTACACGCTGCTAGTGGATTAATGTTTCTAAAACACAACTTATATCTCTAGCTTGCTCAAAAACTTTCAACTTCTCTATTTTACTGAACAAACAACTCTTGTGTAGTAGTCAAGGCAAATACTATATAGTCTTAATCTACCTCTCCTTGACACTTTCCTTTACAGATGATACTTTCTGCCTCTATTCTCGGTCCCTTCATCTGGGATGTGTTCCTACCACCAAATGTCAGAAAGTCTATACATTAAATGTCACCTTCCTTATACTATCCTTTTCAGCCTTCTACCAAATACAGTATCTCCTTCTTTAGAAGTCCCATAGTGTACTTTTCACTTTCCTTATGTTATTGTATATATTTGCCTTAGCACCATTTTTAGACTGTAAGCCTGCTGAGTGCTAAACAGTAGTCCCCTTTACACAGTAAAAACTCAAAAGGTTATTTATTTAATGAACTATATAGAGAATAGTTTCAAATCAACTTATTAGTAAGACTATAAGATACAGATCACAAAAATATGGTAAAGGAATTAAAATAGCCCCATCTTGGTTAAGGAAAGCTTCATGGAAAAGCTGACCAAACGCACTTCTGGAGTATTTGTTTCCTTCCAGCTAGAGAAAGGCCCAGTTTAAAGGTAGGACAATTAAACAGTTTTTGTGAGATCTACTTTTTTCCTGTTTGAGCTTGAGAGGCCCTCATTTAATCTCAGAAGCCATTTCAGTTTCACTCTTCTTGTTTAGATAAGACTTGATATTTGAGGATGTGCACCAAAAGACTTTCATATAAACCTTATGTACCTCGGCCAGCCAGCAATACACTTCTCTAAGAAGCTTGATTGTTGAAGCTCATGAAATGCTTAAGCAATGATACTTCATGACTTTTAGCCAGTATAAGAAATAATTCATAATCTCTACCAACTTCAATTTAGAAAAACTATATAACTAAGCAAACATTTCCTGCTGAGCAGATAGACACACTGGTTTTGGAGAGGAGTAAGGAACCCTACACTGAAGTTTTTAAATTAATTTTGTTTTTATTGATTTCAGAGAGACAAAGGGGGAGAGAGAAACATCAATGATGAGAGTCACTGATCAGCTGCCTCCTGCCATGCCCCCTACTGGGGATCGAGTCTGAAACCTGGGCATGTGCCCTGACTGGGAATTGAACCGTAACTGTCTGCTTCATAGGTAGATGCTCAACCACTGAGCCATGCCGGCTGCGCTATTTTTTTATTTTACCAGTATCTGCAGTATAAGCAGAAATTTAGGTGCAGTGGGGGTATTTAGAGTCTGACATAAAACACTTAAGAAGTTAGTCTAAGTTTTTCATACAAAATCCTCTAACATTAGGAAATGATTTAACAAACTACATGCTACTAGAATAATAAATGCAATCAATGTTCCCATTTCCTTTCCGGCTATCTCTGTATTAAGAAATTATCTCTAGTACTAATCTAAATAATTTGAAATAAATCGTCACTTTATACAGGATTAAAAGACTGATATTTTGATCTTGGTCTTTATGTAAGAAATAAGATAGCATTACACATGATGGTTAGATAATTAACCACTTTTTTTGTTGTTAGTTAGGCTTAGTCACTTTCTATCAGCTCAGAATGAAGTGAATTAAACTTCTGCCATGCAAATATGAGTTCATGTGAAGCTATTTGCAGAACCTGGTTTCTGCATAACCAAAATCTCTCATTTGGCTATGAATAATGGTATCTAAGTGGTTTTGGTACCTAAATAGTCTAGCATCTATATAGATCACTCTCTATTTCAGTTCCTCAATTCTTCTGTTATATCACTTCTTACTCCTGGGAGCTAGAGCCAAAAGAAAGTTGCTGCAACTTCTAAAATCCTGTTGCCAATAATTTTCTCTGTTGGGTTCTTCAGAGGCAAAAAGCAAATGAGAGAGTTGACCAGTGGCAAGTGAAAGTAATATTCCAGAACCAGTTTATTCTTGGGGGGAAAAATGATTTCAAAACTTCTGAGTTATTCCTACTGCCCAACTTTCCCTTTCCCTTTTCACTTCTTACCATGAAGAAGGCACCCCGGTGATAATACTTCTGTAAGAACTTGTATTTGCCTTTAACAGCTTTGTTGGTAATAACTTTGCCATTTGCCCGAAGCTCAGCTCTCCTCTCTTCCTCAGTCAGGTTTCTCATGCGTTCAATTTCTGCTTTCTCCTTCTCAAGTCTGTCCAAAGAACAAAACTATTTATTAGTATCATTCCAGCTTCAGAAAGATCCAATTATTGGAGTATAACACAGTCCCACCTCCTTTCACTTATTTTAAAAACTGATTTTAGAGGGAGAGGGAGAGAGAGAAGTATCGACTGGTTGCCTCCCATACATGCCTGACCAGGGATTGAACCCACAACCTGGGTATGTCCCCTGACTGGTAATTGAACCTGTGACCCTTTGGTGCATGGGACAATGCTTCAACCAACTGAGCCACACTGGCCAGGGCTATTCACCTTTTAAAATTCTAGTCATTGCCTGTTAGGAATCAAGATTAGGAGCTCAATAAATAAAAAGGTGAGGTGGTCTTCATTATGCTTGCAAGATCAGGTATTGCAAAGTTCCATAAGTCGATTCTAGCCATTTTTTTAGGTTTAGACATACTGTTATTGCTTGATTTTGCAACATTACTAATTCCCCTTCCCTAAAAGCCTCTTAGCTTTAAAAAAGAAAATAAAAAAAATCAGAATTTAAAATAACTGTGCAACACTTAATCATATATGTGCTTACATGTCACAAACCAAGGATTACCATCCTTGGTAATTAGATTGTAGCGACTTTAACCTTTTTTGGGGGGTGGGGTGGGGAGAGTCACATTTCCCCTTTCTCCAGAAAAATGTAAATATACACATAATTCTGTACATAATTTTAAAGGGTACCTGGACTCCATTAATGAAGCCAAAGGTAAAAACCTTAGAAACTGCAGGCTGAGGACAGTCTTCTATTGATGATTTCCCAATCAAGAGTAATCTGGGATTACTCTTTCATTCCTAGTAATTCTCAGGAATGGGTAATGCAGCTCAGAAATGACTCTGGTCTAACATAGCGAGTGTGATAGATTAAATGCCCCAAATTCTTCCCCTCACAGTATGCATGCCCCTTTGCAGAAATGACATGAGAGCCTCAAAAGATCTTGCCAGCTTCCACCTTTGCCCTCTTGGAATACTGCCCCAAGATTGTTATGTAAGGAAGCCAGTCTAGCCTACTGAAGGAGAAGTGAGGCATCCTAGCTGATAGTTCACACCAACGACCAGACATGTGAGTGAAGTCATTCTGGACTTTCTAGTTCAGTTAGTTCTTCAGCTGGATGCAACTGCATGAGAGCCCAACTGAAAGCAGCTAAAGTACTGTTTAGCCAACCCTTAAAATTGTGAATAATCAACTGTTTTAAGTTACTTAATTTTGGTCTGGGTTGCTATGCAACAACAGATAACTGATAACAGTGAATAACTTTTGTGTGTCTACTAGGAAACTAAAGGGAATATTAGCTGGTACTCTACCATGGAGAAACACTGACAAAGTGTTTCTTTTCCCTGATTTTATTGTAACAGCCACATTTCAATTACAGAAACTCACCCAGCTGCAGGGATCCTAGAGAAAGCTAGAATGGAACTCACAGTAGCTACTGAGCCTCAGAACTTTTCTACTAGGAACCTGTCTCATTAGCAGTAATAACTCTAGGACCAGTACTCACGCTTCTCGATCTTCTCTGTCCCTCTTGATTCTCTTTAGCTCCCGAACTTTCCATGCCTCATATTCCTCCTCATCATTTTCATCGTCAGTATTCAGTGCATCCAGTGCAGCCAGGGATCGCTTGTTTTCCTCCAGTTCTTTCTTGGTTTCCTCTTCTACAATCTGGATAGGGAGAACAATTCAACTGTTGGGACTTCCTTATTCTCCTCAGACAAACCTAAGTGCACTACTCCTTGCACTTAATCCTCATAGCCACTCCCGTACCTTGAGTGTGTACTTGCGCCTCTCCTCAGCCATGCGTTTTGCCTCCTGCTCCAGCTCCTTCTGTTTCAATGCTTCAGCCTCACGTTCTTGAACTGTTACTCGGTCCTTCCTGAGGTACAGAGGTCCTGTTAATTGCCCAAAGCTCTTAGAGTGAAGCTCTGTTCCCCTAAATCAAGACCTGTCCAAATCAGACAAAGCCAAATAATTTTTGGCTCTATCATTTGCAAAGAGCCAAAAATGGGAGTGAGAGTAAGTCTTTAGATCATCAAAATTCCATTCATCTTTGAGAACTGCCTGAATAGCAAAGAATATGCTAGACTGTAAGTAGTAGGATTTCTAGCCATTAGGAAAGGAATAGGATTTTGCTCTTTAAGCTTAATTTTGTGCTTAAAATAATATAAGATCTTGGGCAGATGTGTGCTCTTTAATTGGAAAAGGAGATGTGAAAACAAACTCAGGCTCTGCTAACACCAAGATATTCCTCAGCAAATACCATGCAGGGCTAGGGCACTGGGCAGAAGACTTTCACTTTGTGCTTACATTTCAGAAGAGCATGAGACAGGAAAGAGGCTTCTATTTTCAAACCTGGAAAATAGAAACTGTGGATTCAGGACTGGTTTGCGAGTTACTTACTTTCGAATGAAGACTGGCTTAAGGCGAGGCTCCATCTCATCTTCACTGTCTGTGTACTCTTCATACTCGGACTCTGATTCTGACTCCTCCCCAGAACGTCCCTCATCTTCCACTTCCATGACTTCCATCTCTTCATTTTTTCTCTCCTGTGCTCGTTGACGCATCATGCCACGGCGCCGCTCTATTTCCTATCAAGTCATATGTCCAAGTCAGTAAGCCACTGTGCTCTTAGATGGCTTTTTATTTTCCTCTCATCAAGCTCAACAAATTTTGATCTGAGTAAATGCAACTTAGTGCTACTACTATGTTTTCAGTTTTATCCCCAACTGAGAACCCTGGGTCAGACTTCTGCCAAAAGCAGCAATCTTATGCCTTCAGGACCTCAACAAAGGAGCAAAGCCCCAACTTTTTCTTGTACCTAGAAAGAACGAACTTCCCATTTTACTTTACTATACCTCATCATCAATTTCTTCCTCTTCTTCCTCACTGCTATCTTCTCGTTCCATGTGCCAAGCATCTCCTTCTATTTCTGAGTCACTTTCTCCTACTACTTCAGGTTCCACTATTTTCCGATGTCGAGCCAACCTGGAAAACAGTATCTTCAAGTGTAATGCCAATGCTACAAAAACAAAGGGGCTCAGCTACATTTCTTTTGTCATACAGCACCTAGACATTATGTTTGTTTTTATTAATACTGAAGTCTTGAGATGGGCAAACTGAGGTGCCCATTAAAGAAACTAATTCAAAGTGTCAGAGCAAAGAGTCAAGTTGGACCTAAAATATTAAATGTATACTGAGGCATCCTGGGGCACTGCAACAAACTTATATGGGTACACTGTGATATACTTCATAGTTCAAGGTAGTTCACAGTTTCAACATTAGATCAAACTGTTTCCTTTCAATGACATCTTTGTGAAAATGGGTTTTTAATCACTGTTGTGACAAAAAGCAAGTACCACATGAACATTAATATGGAATAGGAAATGAGAGTGATAGTGCCAAGCTGATTCCAAGGTTCAAGAGGTTGCTAGTCCAGGAGGCACACAAATCCTACTAGTAAGTAACTGTGGTTTTGTAAAATGAAGTAAAAATGTTTTTTCTTTTATGTGTATTATTTTTTTCAAATGGCTAAGTTTTTAAGACATAAGTATATATTAAATTTTTGGTGCTAACAACTTAGTAAAATAGAACTATTTGGGCATAGGGGTTCTGTGAAAAAATTTCTAAGACAACATGAGCCGTGAAAGTTCAGGACCTCTGGCCTACTCTGTAAGGTACTGTCTCAGTTAATACACAACATACAAAATCCATGTTGGGAGGCTTCCTTTCCAACATAAGACCATTCATCAGGCCTTTTTTCCTATTTTAATGTCATTTCCTCTCATTAGCCTTTAGAATAAGTAAGTGGATAAAACCAATGTCTCAACTTTTATAAAACATTGTTGTGTTAAAAAGATTCCTCTCAATAAACCAACCAATGGTCCGTGATTTCTATTCCCTTAATGAGTTAATTTGGGCCCTTAGACCAGAGGTAACCTGCTGTTTACTGACTGCCACTTAACGGCTGTATGACTTTGGTCATATTATTTTCCTAACCCCCTTGTGCTTCAGTTTCCTCATTTGTAAAATGAGTATAATAGTACCTACCTCATAAGGTAACTGTGTGGATTATAAGAATTGGTAAATGTAATGTACTCTGGAACAGTGCCTGGCACACAGTAAGTACTATTCAAGTATAACCTACTATAATTGTTGTTGTTCTTATTAACTTGAAGGGGTTCAGGCCCAGAAACATCCCCTGAGTTGTTACCTCTCTTCCACATCTTCACTAATACGGTTCTGCAAGCGCCGCAGTCGCGGGTCACTAGATGAATCCTCCTCCTGCTCCTCAGGCTCCGCCTCCTGCTCTTTGGCTTTCTTAATGAACTGGAACTCTTCATCCTCCTCCTCTGAGGATTCCATGGGGGCATAGTCTGGCCTCTTTCCCGACACATAACGTTTTACCTTCACTTTCTCCATCGAAATCTCACCTGGGTGCGACAGAATACTTATGTTTCAGGAGCCTCTTTCCCAATGTCCTTCAACCACTGGCCTTTGCAGGTAGAGCCCTATATCCCTTGTAAATAGTTCAGAAAGGAGAAGAAGAGAACCACTATCCAACCATCTATTCATCTAATGATGTTTTCCTACAAAAACCAAATCATGGGAAGGCATTCTTGTGAAAACCAACACTAATGATAACAAGGCCTAGCTTGGGTATAATGAAGTAGAGGAAGGTGGGCAGTGAAACAATAGACAAAAGTCCCCCCAAACAGGCAGACTATGGCCATTGCAAATCAACACTATTCCACCTCAACTATACCCTTAAATAAATTATTTGTAACAATACCCAGCATATAGTAAGGGTGACTTAAGTGGGAACATAAAATTAAAATGCTCAGTCATTATTTTAGTTTTGCTGGAATTTTCCATGGCAGCCTTCATAATATATTCCCACATAACTCAGTCTTCTAATCTTACCTATTTCTACCTTCTTTTCTTTTAGTTTATGAGCTATCAAGCCTGAAAGAGCAGATAATCTCTCTTTCACAAATACCAACAATTCCAGTGAATAGAAAGAGTGAGAACTAACCAACACACTTTATAAGATGAATATAACCTTGACAGCCAAATTGGACAGTTCAAAGGGAAATTTTAGGTGAATTCAATTATGAACATAGATACAAAAATACTAAATAATATAACAGCAAATGTATTCCAGCAATGTAAAAACTAACAAAAAAACTAAGCTGTCATTGCCCTAGCCGGTTTGGCTCAGTGGTTAGAATGTTGGCCCACAGACTGAAGGGTCCCAAGTTCTATTCTGGCTAAGGGCACGTATCTCAGTTGCAGGCTCAATCCCTGGCCCAGGTCGGGGCACATGCGAGAGGCAACCAATCGATATGTCTCTCTCACATCTATGTCCCGATGTCCCTCCGTCCCTCCCCCTCCCCCTCTCTCCCCTTCTACTCTCTTTGAAAAGCAATGGAAAAAATATACTCAGGTGAGGATTAAAAGTAACAAACAAACAAAGCTATCATGAACTAACAGGATTCAGCATAGGACTACAAGGATGACTTAACCTTAGAAAATTAATGGGGGGGAAAGTAATGTACAATTTAAAGTTTATATATTTAAAGCACATAATCTTTTTTTTTTTTTTTTTTTTTAAATATATCTTTATTGATTTCAGAGAGAGGAGAGGACAGGGAGAGACAGAAACATCAATGATGATAGAGTCATTGATCGGCTGCAGCCTGCAACCTGGGCATGTGCCCCGACTGGGAATCGAACCCCGATCGCCTGGATCCTAGGTCTACGCTCAACCACGGAGCCACGCCCGGCTGGGCTAAAGCACATAATCTTAACAACAGATACGGCAGACATTACATTTAATAATAAATAATAAAACATTAGAAGTATTGTTTTAAAAATCAGTGGGCATTCCAATGTTGTCCATATCATTCCTTCTAGTCAACATTTAATTATGGCCCTAATTAGGCAATAAGGAAAGAAAAAGAGATGAAGGGTAAGGACTGAAAAGGAAAAACTGCCATAATTTGCAGATTACATGATCATCTACGTAGAAAAAAAACAAGGTAATCAACAAACAAACTAAAAAAGAATTCAGGAAGGATGTTGGATAAAAATAAGTGTACCTGTGCATTAGCTATATATAATTAGAAGATACAGTTTAAAAATACCATTTATGCCCTGGCCAGGTACATATGGGAGGCAAATGAGTGATGTTTCTTTCTTTTTCTCTCTCCCCCTCTTCCTCTCTCTCTAAAATCAATTAAAAAAAAATCCTCGGGTGAGGATTAAAAAAAAATTTTTAAATTACCATTCATCCCCTGGCTGGGTAGCACAGTTAGATAGAGCATTGTCCTGATATGCCAAGGTTGCGACTTTGATCTCCGATCATAAAAGAATCAACTAATGAATGCATAAGTAAATGGAAAAACAAATAGACGTTTCTCTCTCAAATCAATACATTTTTAAAAATACCATTTATAATAGCAACTAATCTATAAAATTTTAATGCAATTCCATTAAAAGTTGCCCCTAGCCAGATTCTAAAATCATGTGGAAGAATAGGAGCCACGACAATTCTGAAGAACAAGGTGAGGCCAAAGAACTTAACAGATGCCTAACCAAAGAAGATACACTTGGGAAATAAGCATATAAAAAGATGCTCCAGCCTGGCCGGTGTGTCTCAGCGGTTGAGCATCAACTTATGATCCAGGAGATCGAGGTTCGATTCCCCGTCAGGGCACATGCTTGGGTTGCAGGCTCGATCCCCAGTGGGGGGTGTGCAGGAGGCAGCTGATCAATGACTATCTCATCATTGATGTTTCTATCTCTCCCTTTCTCTGAAACCAATAAAGTCATATTAAAAAAAAAAAAGATGCTCCATATCTTATGTCACCAGAGAAATACAAATTAAAACAATTAGATACCAACACACACCTATAAGGATGTCCAAATTGCAGAGCTCTGACAACATTAAATACTGGCAAGGATGTGAAAAAACAGGAACTCTTACTCATTGTTGGTGGAATTGCAAAATGCTACTTTGGAAGGGAGTTTGACAGTTTCTTGTAAAACTAAGCATATGATTACCATACATTCCAGCAACTGCATTCCTTGGTATTTACCCAAACGAGTTGAAAATCATGTCCACACAAAAACCTACACACTGACATTTATTGCAGCTTTGTTCATAATGGCTAAAACTTGGAAGCACCTAAGATGTCCATCCAGACAATGGAATATTATTAAGCACTTAAAAAAAAGGATCAAGCTATGTAAAGACATGGAGGAAACTTAAATGCATATTACTAATGAAAAAAGCCAATCTGAAAAGGTTATATACTGTATCATTCTAAATACATAATATTTTGGAAAAGGCAAAATTATGAAGACAGTAAAAAGATCAGTTGCTGTGGGTTGGGTGTGTAGGAGGGATGAATAGGCAGAGCACAGGGATTTTTAGGGCAGCAAAAATACAGTAAAATCTCGATATAACAGACTAATTTGGGTGAGGGGGTGTCCATTACAGCCAAAAGTCCGTTATATAATAAAGTTTTCCAAATGGGTATATTAAAAAATTGACAAATTAGTTTACCTGTTTTTTCTTATGTAGACACATTTGTGTAATTAAAAATTAAGTATGTATGAAAAGTTTAATTTTACAGAAGTTTTCTATATTACTGTGATTTTAAATTTATACTGAATAGGTCTAGTAAACACATGCATTCACCAGTCACCAAGAGTAAACAAATGCACTTGGCTCTAAAACTGCTGAAGAAAGTCATGCCACTAGGGAACAGGACCAATTACTGAGCTTGATGTGGTGTGATTACATGCTAATCATTGTTTACAAGTAGTGATTCTTGGATTTAAGTACGTAGACTACAGTTGTAGATATGTAATATTTATGTTGGTGAAATTATTACAGTTTTTTTTTCCAACATATGGCCTATTCACTAAAATTTGTTAAAAATAACATTGAATTAAAAACAACAAAATAACCTGTTAATTTAATTATAAGCAAATCTTGGTTAAAAGCACTTTAAAATTAATAGGGTGTTTTCACATAGGACATATGGACTGGAAATTTTGTCCGTTAATCTGAAGTCTGTTAAATTGAGGTCAGCAAAATCAAGGGTTTACTGTACTGTATACGACACCATAGTGATGGCCATGCCATTATACATTTGTCCAAACCCACTGAATGTACAATACCAAGAGTGAATCTTAATGTAAACTATGGACTTTGGGTGATTATAACATATCAGTGTAGGTTCATCAATTGTAACAAATATATTACTCTGATGGGAGAGGCTATGCATGTGTAGGAGTACGGGGAATATGGAAACTCTGTATTTCCCCCCAATTTTGCTGCGAACCTAAAATTGCTCTAAAAAAATAAAGTCTTAATTAAAAATAAAAGAATAGCCCTAGCTGGTTTGGCTCAGTGGTTAGAACATTGGCCTGCAGACTAACGGGTCCCATGTTCAATTCCAGCCAAGGGTATGTACCTTGGTTGCAAGCTTGATTCCCAGGCTCCCATCAGGGCGAGTGTGGGAGGCAACCAATTGATGTGTCTCTCTCATATTGATGTTTCCCTCCCTCTCTCCCTCCCTCTCTCTCTGAAAAGAAATGAAAAAAGTAGCCTCAGGTGAAGATTAAAAAAAAAAAAAAAAGTAAAAATAGAAGAATAAAGTAAGATGGGGTTGGAAAGGGTTTTTATATAGATGGCAAGGCTCATTTAAATATATAGTAATTAAAACAGTATGTCATTCACTCAGGAGGCACATAGAGACCAATGGAACAGAGTAGAGAGCAGAGAAACAAACCTACATGAGAACTTGGTATAGTACAGAAGTGATATTAAAAAGCAGTGGAATGAGCCCTGGCTGGTGTGGCGCAGTTAGTTGGAAAAGTCCTCCCATACACCAAAGGGTCACGGGTTTCATTCCCAATCAGGGCACATACCTGGGCTTTGGGTTCAATCCCCCGTCAGGGAAAATAAGGGAAGCAGCCAATTGATATTTCTCTCTCACACTGATGTTTCTCTCTCTCTTTCTCTTGCCCTCCCTCCCTAAAAAAAAAAATCAAAAAAAAAAAAAAAATCAATGAAAACATATCCTCGAGTGAGGATTTAAAAAAGAAAAGAAAAGCAGTGAGTGGGCTAGTCAAATAATGGAGTAGTAGGGACAGCTGGCTGTCAGGTAAATAGTAAAATTAGATCTCTGATGCCCACACACAAAATATTTCAGGTTGATTAAAGACCCAAGTGTGAAAAACCTCTTAAACATACATATCCCTACTGGACTGTAAGCTCCTTAACTTAGAGTCTGCAGTGCATAATTGTGTATTCAATCCTATTTAGAATACAAACACTAAGATGATAGAAAATATTTGTAATTTGAATATCTAAGATCTCAGGGTAGGAAAGGATTTCTTAATATTCTAAACAACACAAACCATGAAAGATAAAATTGATAAATCCGATAACACTAAAACTAAAACCAGTTGTAACAGACTACATAATTAAAGTTAAAAACAAGCCAAAAACAAAACAAAACATGAGGAAATATTACAGATTTGGGAAGTATAAAAACAAACCAAAGAGAAAACAGGTAAGTGATAGAAATAGGTAATTCATAGAAGAGAAAGCCTAAGAGCTGAAAAATGCATGAACAAGATGTCTAGTCTCACTAGCAATCATGAAAAGGCAAATTAAAATGAGATATTTCACACCCATTAGATTGAGCAAAAACTTAAAACTCTGATAAAATCAAGTGTATGGATGAATATATGGAGATATAAAAACTCTTCATGCTCTTACAACCCACTGTGGAGAACAAATGGTAACAGGTAGTTAAGTTGATGACTTGTAGGAGTCTACCCTAGAGAAATTCTTACACAGGTGCACTAAAGAGATACGTTTAAGAGCGACAATTGCAGCACTGTTTGTAATAGGAGAAAAACAACAACACAACTGTCTCTTAGTAGGAAATAAACTGTGGTTTAGTTATACAGTGGAATTCATAAACAGGTAAAAATGAATGAATTAGACCTATATGTATCCAAAGGATACTTCTCAAAAGCCATGTTTAGTTCTAAAAAAAGGCAAGTTATACACGGGTAGGTACAGTATATTTAAAAAATAAAAAAGAACTGATATTATTTTCCAAAATCCTTACTGAAAAAACTCTACTTTCACTCCCCAAACAGATAACTTGTTCCTTCTGCCATCTCCACTCATTGGAATCCTACCCATTCTTTAAGGGTCAACTTCTTCAAGAAGCTTTCTTTGATTACCTCAATCTGAAGAAATCATTCCTTCTCTGTTCTCACAGCCCTTGGTATCACCTATGTGGCAGGTATTACAGGTGTGAAAGATCTCTTTTTGTGAACATCCCTAATCTACTAGAATATGAGTTTCTCAAGGTTAGGGGCACTATCTTACACAACTTTGTATTCATTTTTAATTTTTATTTATTGATTGATCTTATTTAAAAATTAAAAAAAAAGTTTATTGATTTTAGAGAGAGAGGAAGGGAGAGAGGGAGGAAGGAAGGGGTTGAGAGGGAGAGAGAAACATACATCGCTTTGTTGTTCCACTTATTTATGCATTCATTGGTTGATTCTTGTAGGTGCCCTAACCAATTGAGCTACCCAACCAGGGCTACAACTCAGTATTCAATTTAATAAAAACAGTCACTGCGTTGGTTTAAAGTTTAAAAAGCTTAACAAGACATCATTCCTGTGTTAAGGAGGTTACGAGCTTATGATGTAGTAGAGGGAAACAGACTCATAAATAATAATAAGTTATAAAAACAGCAGAGTGCTATGGATAACAAAAGAGGGGTTGTATCCCCCACAACGCCCTGCAAACAGCAGGCATTCAATCTGTTAGTCTAGGCCAAGGAAAGAGGGGTGCTTGCAACAGTTAAGGGCAGTCAACATATAAGAACAAGGAGAGGAAGGTATTTTTTTTCCCCTAGGCAACGCGATAGGGTGTGAGTTTGATGGGGGAAAGTCGAATAAAATAGGGGGAAGGTCTTAAGGATCTGCGGGGTTCGGGTGGCGGCCTGGAGTAGGTTTGGAGTATGCTGGGGAAGGAGGAAGATCCGATTGGAAAATGGCTCAGCACTGTACCTTTTTCATTGCGAACTGGGACGGCCCCAGCCGTGGACTGAATGGGCGGTTGCTTCATGAGTGCGCTTGGGCCCGACATGTTCATGGCAGCGGTGGTACTCCGGAAACTTCACTGACTGCAAACAGTAAACAGCTAGAACGTCAAAGAACAGAAAAATCCTCTCAGCCTAGAGGCCCTGGACGCTGCAACGCGACTGACGGAAACTCCACTTAAAGCACAGCTAGAAAAACCGGAAGTAAGCGACCAGAGGATTGTGGGATTGTGGAGGACTTCTGGACGCCTACCATTAGAACTTCGAGTCTGTTACTGCGCATGTACAATAGTCCGCCCTGCTGTCCTCAGTCTGGCAGTATTTGGACGCCTCTTCTGGCGGGAAATTGCTTCCATTGGGCTCTGCTGTTGCCTTGGGGCGAGGAAGGTCAGAATTAAAGGTTTCGTTTGTTAGCTTGGTTTGAAGCCGAGGAAAATGGGATAGTGACGAATAAAAAACTTAGGAGATAGTGAAAGGCAGTTGGTGCAGACTGTTGAGATCTCAGAATTAGAGTTTAATTGAGATAGAAATCCTGCTAATAGCACCTAATGCCTAAAATTCTACTTTTAGGTTTTCCAGTTCCAATTTTCGGAGACCGCTAATTAAAACATTCCTGACTGGAATATGTTTGTATAAGTCCATAAGTATTAAGTATTTGCTGTGTTTACCATACTTAGCTCTCTGTAAGGACTATGTAATAATGTTAAATGCCTCATGCCCTCAAGAAGCTTGAATTAAAAAAAAAAAAAGAAATATAAATATGAAAAATGAAAAAAAAGCTTGAATTTTATTCAGGAAGTCTTCAAGGACTTACAGAATCATAACAGAAGCAATTGTAATTTGCTAGCTGGGTTGTGTAAAAAACATTGGTTAATTGGAAGTCAACACATTTCACTGTAGAACGGATTTTATAATTCCTGTGTTGTAGAGAGAAAGGACAGCATGAACAAAGTCTTGAAGTTCAGAAATAGCATGGTGTAAAATATCAGACACTACGGAAAGTCTGACTTTACCAGTAATTTTGGGGTCAAGGAGTGGTGAAAGTTCCCCAGGTACTAGAGCCTGGAGGGCCTGGCAATAGGATAGGTTCTGAAATTATAGAATTAGCTCTGAAATTATTTCACCTGTGTTTTATAATTGTGCCTCGGCTGGGAGGAGAAATAAAATTGGGCAAGTCTACAGCGAGGAACAGTGGAGGATCCAAGTAACCAACCAAGGGAGCAGTTTAGGGCTGAAAAAGACCTTAATTTTATAATATGAATTTATCAGCTCCAAAACTGTGCTGTCCAGAGGGAGTAATTTGTTGGGGAGGCAATTGTTTTGGCTCACGGGAACCCAGAGAACAGAAAAAGAATGTTTAATATGGTTGTACCTAGCTTTGCGCAGTGGCAGTATCATAGCCAATGAGGTTTATCCGAGGCGTGATTATGGCTAATTGAAGAAAAATATGAGGCTGTCTATAAGAAGTACAGCGCACTAAAATCTGATATTTTGTGATGCACAAATTACTTGATTCACTTTTTCCCAGCCTTTAGGCTATTTAAGGTCATGATTAGTATCTTAGTTAACTGGTGGGCAGATGAACAGGTGAAATTTAAACCAGCTAAAAGTTATCAGCTTTTAAAAAAAAAAAAAAATCAAAATTCTTCCCTTCCTAGGAAGAAGATAATATGGTAGCCATAAGGCATAATATTCTGGGGGTAGGGTTATAAGGAACTCAGGAGCCCGAGGTAAAGGCTGCACGTTGATTTTTATTTCTTTTCCTCTTTATTCCTTTGGGCATCTACTTGAGTCTGAATCTTTTCCAGGCTCACATTGCAAGGCAGGATAGTTTTTCCGCAGCAAAAACGCCAGTGTTTTTCAAAGCGAGATCCTGGGACCAGCGGCATCAAAATTACCAAGATTCAAGGTAAAAATGCCCATTCCGTCCTATCGCACCTTTAAGGAATTTGAATTTGGGTTGAGACCGGTAAGCTTGCTTCTTTAAGGGGCCGCCGGAGCCGGCCCGCGTACCCCTCCCCCCGCGGCCTGCTGGGATCTT